AGATGGCTCTGGGTAGTTCAGAGGCTGTCTCTATTTATAGACTGCCTCGTCCCACTCACCTTATATAAATTAACACGCCACGTCTGTTAGCTGTCGAGTTCAGCTCCCGAGACCAGTTGACTACTGTTCTCCAGAGATGGTACGAAACCAAGGACAAGGTCACCAGACACATTCGTTGCTGCGAGAGCCGGCCTCGTACCCAAAGGAGAGAACAAAGCGTTATCAAAGAAAACACTCAACCCTTAGTCACACTACAACGGTGCAGCACGGACGATGATAACCAGTGTCATCCAAGTGCTTTGATTGAACTAGAAGAAAAAAATGCCAACAGGCCTGGGGAATCGGCCAACCAGTTCGTAGGATAACTCCTCAACCGACAGCCCACATCAAGACGATCACCCCCCAATACGGGGAAGTGGTGAGACTGACTACCAGTTGCCTGTACAGTAATGTGAGAGGGCTAAGAGGCAAAATAGCTGAACTTAGACACCTACAATCACAGCTGAACTCCAAAATCATAATACTGACGGAAAGCTGGCTAACCCCTACGGTGGCAGACAGCAGAGTCAGTATAAATGATATGGTCCTAATCAGGCGAGATAGAGGCCTGAAAGATGATGGGGTCACCATGTACGTCGACAAACAGCTCAGATGTGTTCACGCGACGGACCCTCCCCTCACTGAGCTCCCTGACTCCATATGGTGCCATTTCACCGTTGGGTACTGCAAATATCTAGTGGGCAGCATTTATCGATCACCTTCATGTGGAGCAGACCACAACCAGGTACTGCTAAATACAATCTCAGCAACTCAAGACATGGGTTATGATCAAATTGTCATAGCTGGTGACTTCAATGCCCCATCTCTTAACTTGGTGTCGGGAAAAGCCCGTGATAGATTTGATCGAAATCTGCTGCATACCATCAGGAAGGCTGGATTCACTGAAAATGTCAAGATGGATACTAGATGGGGCCCTGATGGGAAGTCTTCTAGACTGGATTACGTGCTCACTAGTGACCAGCTACTAGTGGAAAATGTTCAGATCACGACTCCCATAGGTAGTAGTGACCACGCGGTCATGGTATTCGACATAGTCCTCCGCGAGCGCCTACAGTGGGACAATACACAGCCCTATCTGTGTTATAACAAAGCCAATTACACCAAAATGCGAAGACTTCTGTCTGAAGCAAAGTGGCCTAAAAATGGACAGAGCTAGCAGTAGAAAAACAGTGGAGAGTGGTAAAGTAGATCATTGACCAGGCGGTCTCAGACACTGTTCCTTTAATCACAGCAAAAGCTAGGAAGCAACGTTCATGGTTAAAAACGGGGACACAACGCCTTCTGCAGGCGAAGCGAAAAGCCCGGTTTGTGTGGCGACGATCAAAGAGTCAACCCGAACATGAAGTGTACCTTGAACTCAGGAATCGATGTAACATACGAGTCCGGAGTGATAGAAGGATATTTCAGGGAAACCTCGCCAATAGGCTTGACTTCGGGAAAGTCTTCAGGTTGTGATGACTTCCAGAAGCAGTGTTCAAAATGTCTCTGCCAACCCCTAAGTGATCTGTTTCAACACTCCCTTGATGTAAGGAAACTTCCCTGTGGATGGAGATGAGCAATCCTATCCCTTATCTTCAAGGGTGGTAACCGGCAGAATGCGACCAGTTACAGACCAGTTGCTCTACTTCCAGTGATATCGAGGATATTGGAAAGTCTCACTGACGACCATATGAGAAAATACCTCGACGGGACCAACCTATTCCATGAAGCACAGCACAGTTCCAGGAGGGGAAGATCCTGCGTGACGAATCTTCTACTAGCTTGGAACGATTGGACACTATCCTGGGATGAAAAGGTACCAGTCTGTACGATCTTTCTGACTTTGCGAAAGCATTCGACACAGTTCATCATGGTCTGCTCCTTCACAAAATAAGCAAGGCGAGTGTTTCTGGAGCACTTCTCGCATGGCTGAAAGATTACTTAGGCGAGAGAGAATTCTGCACCAAAGTCAACCGCATCCGATCCTCCTGGCGCACCTCGGCATCAGGGGTTCCTCAGGGTTCTATCCTAGGATCGTTGATGTTTTTGATTTTTATCAACGACCTACCCTCCCAACTAAACTACTCTGCGCTTCTTTACGCTGACGACGTAAAGATTTGGAGAGCAATAAACTCATCGGAAGACTCAGATAGATTGCAGGCTGACCTGCAAACTCTGGGAGACTGGGCTCTGGCTAACGGAATGCCTTTCAACCTAAAGAAGTGCAAAGTAGTGCAACTTCATTCCGGCAGGTCACAGAGTGTAGATTACACCCTTGGTGGCCAGAACTTGAGTTGTGTCCCATCAGAGCGCGATCTAGGTCTTATTCTAACAATAAAGCCAGATAACAGTTGAAATTACACGAGGGACGTCGCCAAAGCCTACGCAACTTTATACTTTATGCATAGGCAGTTGGGAGCTCTTACTCCCGAACCGTTCTTAAGGTTAGCACACCAGAGACCAAAGACTCGAGTGCGTTCACACTTCTTTTAGCTTCGAGCTTGCCGTCTCTGGAACGCTTTACCGGCGGCCGTGACTACAGCGCCATCTGTGGAGATTTTTAAGCGGAAGCTGGACATTCATGCAGAAATGGAAGGTTTGTGTCTCAGTGGCTTATCCTCATAAAACTTAAAACCACACTGTCAGTGGATAAGCATACAAACTAAATCCCCACAACCTGTTCTGCCTTCTCTTACTGTACCGACTACTCCATCTTTTCCTTAGGTCACCTTCATTATTTCGCTTATCTCAACCCATATTATCTACACTACAACCTATTATTATTACTATTCTGCTTTTATGACTACACCGAATGACCAATGGGAGTTAGGTCAAACTCCATTCACGGCAGCAACACAGTCCTAACATATTTGATCAAGCGCGCTCCTTGAATACGACGTGCTTTTTCCTCTCCAACCGGAAAATACCAATTCTGTGAATTATCCGTTTGGGAAACCTGATCTTCCTAGCCGGTGAATTTAATTCAACCATTACTTTCATAATAAATCTCTGTGTGGTAAGTCCAGCTGTCTCGAACTACTGCCAAAGCTTCAGGTGCTACTTTTGTAGCAGCATCTTCCTCACTTGTTCAGAGAAACAAGACTTGTTGGTCTACCACGTGATTGCAGTGAAGCCGATCATTCAAAAAGTACTAGGTAAAGTCGAAAACCTTTTCTTTTCCTTGCCTTATACTTTTTCAGTCTTATTCTTGCTCTTTAGGATAGAAACTGTTGCTCTCTTAGTCGTATATAGCATAATTTATAGTGATTGTTAATATGGTTGTTGAAAGCAGCCTTAAAAAAGCCACTAGAATACCGTACTCTGTAGTCACAAGGGCTTCAGCCAGGGAAGGAAAAAATCCAGGGATTTCAACCCCTTCCCGCATACCGATCCTAAAGTCTCGTGTAGCTTTCGTCTTTCCTGATACAACGCCTGCATTGCCACAGTCTAGTACTGAAACGGCACAGGAAATAACAGAAGGACAGGATTCTACACCTGCATCAACTGTAGGCCAGTGTGTGAAACACATCAAGCCTAAAAGGAAACGTTCAAGACGTCATAAGACCTCGAAGGCGTCATCAAGGAAAGGAGATGAATGTCAGGCGTGCAGCATCACAGTTTCTAAAACTGATTCAGCGTTTGAATGTAATTTTTGCAAACGATGGATCCACTGCCGTTGTGACAAAAAAGTACCGAAAGCATACTATGAGTTTATGAGAAATAACCCATGCCTATGGTTTTGGTACGTGTGTCCACTTTGTCGCCCTAGCATAGTCCCACAAAGCGTGTCTGCGGATAGCAGAAACAACACGCCCTTGTGCCCCAACACAGTCTCATGCAGCTCCCTCCTGCTAAAATCGCACTGCCAAAACTGGTCAAAGACTTAGAGAAGGACACACCAGCCCTACTGACTGGAAATGCCAATTTTCACAAAGTGAAGATTAGCAAGGTTCCATCCGCATCAGGGGAAGGCAAAATTACAAAGGCACCACTTGCATCCACTAGCAAGCCTGGTAACACAAAAAAGGCTGTCCAGATACCGATGAAGCTTAATGTTGCTAATGATGCAAAGGACTGCAAGAAGCCGAAGGCCAAACCTAAGTCTGAGGGTAGTCGGTCTAACTCTCTCATCCTCTTTAACGTACCTGTCAGCAAGGATAGCTTGCTCGAACAACGGGCCCTGTTAGATCAGGAACAGTGGTCCAACCCGTGCAGCAAACTAGGTCTGAACAATAGTTCAGCAAAATTGTGCAGGCTGTACAGGGGTGTCCACACGCCTCAGGGTAAGCCACCTTCATTACGGGTTACACTGGACTCTGCCGAATAGGCCGAAAAAGTGCTGTTAATGGCTCAGGTACAGTATAATCAGTACAGTATAGTCACATACGTATATCTCGATTTTAATACTCACGCAGCGAACGTTAAATAATTTACTGATTTCTATTCTCTATAATTTTCACTAAGTAGTGTTGGTAAAAGTAACACTGGAAATAATTGTAATAGCATCCACACCTTTTAACGTTTTACATATGTATACACTAATATAATAATACTTATTAATCATGTATGTTCAATTCTGAAATTAGATGGATATTAAAATACTTAAAATATTAATGCATCACACGTTTTCTTGCTTTACCAGGCTTGTTTCCCTTATAACACTCAATTATTGAGCCTAGTGTATTATTTGATATATATATATATATTTCTTCCTGTTTAGGCAGGAACATACCAATTGTACAGGCATGGATAAGTTAGCATATAAATTACACATAATTTGATGTAAGATGGATTTATAGTTTGGTTGTTCTCTCTGACATGAGAGTCAGTCGGAACAGTCTGCTATAAAGTCTGTTTGTGTAGCACATAAAGAGATATAGAAATATTGTCTTCGCATTAAAAAAACCCAGACATCAGATGAATGTAATACGGATGTCCGGGAAAAAAAAGCTTAAAGTCACTCTGTATCGCGGTACGTTCAACGTTTGCGTTACATTTTTACGTGATTCGTTACATAAAATTTATCTTGTTGTAGTACTTGCACAAGTACTATACCACTTCCATACTTGTAACCACTAACTCTCATTTCTAATAGTTATGGTTAATCAAAGTAAAAAGCAGCGAACCCAATCCCCTGTAAAACTGGTGTCTAATTTAACGTCCTTGATTGCTACATCAAGCAACACACCCCCAACAAACGGCTATAGTGAGTCACATAACTCACGTGTATGCCGTAAGCGTCGAGCTGAAACTGAAAATAAAACTGTACTGACAGCCAGTATTAGCACTACTCCTAAAAATTCGGTACCCTCTGCTCATACAGAACTCCTCCCTTCACCTTATGTGCTTATGGAGAAACTCCAGCCATCAAGCTCTTTTTCAGTACTATCTTCAGAAATAGAACTTCTAAAGTTGTCTATAGGAGAACTTAAGGCTGAGTTAAGGGAAATAAAAAACAGCAAGTCAGTAAATGCTGGAAACATCGAAACCAATACCGAGATATCCAAATTATCAGATCAGATCAGCGATATCAGATCGCAGGTCTGTGAACTGACACCTCTAACTATCCTCATGAAAACGGTAAACCTTAACAAGCTTGACACAGAATCGGTAACTAAGGTAGATAACCTCATTAACTTTGTTACCACAGAAGTAACAAAACGACTCGACGCAAAACTGAGTGCTATTGTCTACAACGTTCCGGACAATGAGGCACTAAAAAAGGTACAGCGCATCTTACTTAGTGAAGCGAAAATGCCTAACTCCAAGACTAAGTGCTACAGGCTGAAGAAGAGTCAACATGAAAAGTGTTGTCCTATTCGTTTTCAGTTCGAAACACCGGCAGAGACCAGAAAATTCATTCACTCCCAACACACCCTATCGCAAGCCAGAAACTACAAACATATAAAGGTCGGGGTGGACAAAACAGTTATAGAAAGGCGCGCACACAACTATCTCACTAAGACTAATTGTGAAATAGGTAATAGGACATTGCAGCAAGCCATTATCCCCAACCCTGTGAAAGATACAGTAGACCCCACCGCATCACCCCTCTCAAAACACACAGAAATGTCCCATCAGAGTGCAACACCAGCCGAAAGGCCACTAGACTGTAACCAAATAAATAATAAAACCATACCACCCATCACCGCAGAATCTAAAATGCCACTAAATAACCCCAGAAAAAAAGTTAAAACCCCCCGAAACTCGACTTTGTCCTCTCCTAGCTATAATTCCATTGGTAAAGATAAGGAAAATATGCCCCTAAATCATACCAACAAAAACAGTGGCAGCTTAAATAAGCCCACACTCCCCACGGTTAATAGTATTAGCACTCACAACGTGCTAAATCGCACCGTGGCACACACTAATATCCAATGTCACAACGATGTCACCCTAAATAGTACAAGCGGTAACAGTCAGAACTCGGCTACCAACAACTCAGGGTCTTCAGAGTATGGCACACAAACAAATTTCGACCGGATGTATGGTACAAGTCTGCTGGGAACTAACCCAAAATGCAGTACACACGAAACCCACACAAGGACACAACTAGCATCAAACAATAGGTGGAATAATAAGCCATGGTCATCACAAGGATCCAATCATTTTTTATCCCCCGCGTCCCTGTCAGCGTTGAAAAAACAGCTGGTAGGGATGTTAACACTCCTAAACCACTAGTGCTGGCTCCCTCCTTGCATGAAAACAGGAACGGTCTAGTGCACCCGTATCCATTGGACACACTTGACACTTGCACAAGTATAGGCCAAATAAAGAACCCTACCCACTTCTGTAACCTAACTAAAAATAAAAGTTCCTTAGTCTATAGCAAATCCAGTACTCCAACTCCTAATTCTCCACCGAAAACAGCACACAACAACTCGATAGACATAGGTGAGCATGATGCTGGAACTCCTCTTAACATAGGATCGTCATGTCCAGCAGAACTACTGGGTGCTGAACCATATTCGGGGCTGACTAACGAACTTAAATACTTCAAATGCTACTTCAACTCTCATCTTTACGTAATCCTCATAAATGCTAGATCTGTTCTAAATAAATTGCCGATGCTCAGAGCACTCACAGTAATATACAAACCCCCTGTAATTGTCATCACTGAATCTTGGTGTCATTCGGACATCCTGGATGAAGAAATAAGCTTAGATAACTACACACACTTTCGGTGTGACAGGGAAGGTGGTAAGGGAGGGGGTTGTCTCATGTACTTCTTGAATGAACTTACTGTATCACAGCTAGAAAGTAGTACACTTAACATGCCTGAGACTCTATGGGTTAATGTACACTTAAATAACGTAACAGCACTAATTGGATGCTCCTACAGAGCACCTGGCACCTTTAGTAATTACGAGACCCAACTCATTAATACTCTGGAGCAATTAACCGACTTACAATACGATCATAAGATCCTATGTGGGGACTTTAACTTACCTGAAATCAACTGGGATATACCCACAGGTCCAACTAAATTTGACAAGTTCTTAGACACACTGGATATACTTGGCTGGAAACAAACTGTCACTACTCCCACAAGAGGTAACAACGTACTAGACTTAATCTTCTGCCACAATATAAGCCCCCTTTCAACGCTAGTAGGTTCTGAGTTCCCAGGGAGCGACCACAAAACAGTAATGTGTGCACTGCCAATTCCGCTGAGTAGCAATGCATCTCATACCTCCACTTCACAACAAGTAATATATAGGAACTATAGTAAGGCAAACTGGGCCTTAGTTGAATCGATGCTAAGATCCTCCAAATGGGATGAATACTTCACTACTGATGACCTATCGAGAGCCCTAACCATCTTCTACCATAACTCAAACATATGCTTAGATGCTGTCATTCCACTCCAAACACTAAAGGTTTCCCCACACAGAAAGTCATACATAAAACCAAAGGATCGTAAGAAACTGAAGAAACTCTCAACAAGTTACTTCAAACACCACGACTTTGGCACTCTAGGTCTAATACTTAAAACCCTTAGCTCCATCACACAAGCTCAAGATTTCCGTATGAGAAAGGAAGAACGCATCGCAGTAGCCAGTCCTGCTAGAGCGTATGCACTCACAGAAATCTTAAGGAAGCGAATGAATCGCAAAAATCACAGCATTCCTCTCCTCATAGACAAAGGCAGGCTATGCACTAACTCTGCAGACATATGTGAACTATTCAACAAAACGTTTGCAGGTAACTACCTTAAGCCCTCAGTCCAGCTACTCGATATACACCCTATTACTAAAATGGCACCAACTCCACTGACACCAAACCAAATTAGCACTGTTCAATTCACTTACGCTGACATTAACCAAACTATAAGAACCCTCAAAAGTTCAAAAGGTTTCGGTACCGACGGTATATCATCTTACTTCTATAAATATGGTGGCCCTGACATTCCTCTACTACTGCTTAAAATATTCACAATGTCCCTAGAAACCCAAACTTACCCTGACATATGGAAGACTACATTCATTATGCCTAAACACAAATCTGGCTCGAAAACTGAAGTCAGTAACTACCGGCCAATCAATATCACACCTATAGCATCTAGAATCATGGAGAGACTAGTCAAAAATAACCTAATCAAACACATGCTTAGCTGCAACATCATAAGTCCGAACCAACATGGATTCCTGAAATCCAGATCATGTTTAACATGTCACCTAGACTTCTTCAATTTTGTAACCAGCAGTCGTGACAGACGGCAACTAGTACTTGTCATCTACTTTGACATTTCTAAGGCATTTGACCGTGTTGACCATTTACTGCTAACAAATAAACTGAACTCCTTAGGAATACGTGACCCATTATTAGGATGGCTTAAATCATTCCTTAACAATAGGTCCCAAATAGTTAAACTCGGGTCTGCAACCTCCAAACCTAGCCCTATCACTTCTGGTGTAGTACAAGGTAGTGTCATTGGACCCCTCCTATTTACACTATACATCAATGACATATGCGCTTGCTTCACGCACGGGAAACCATTCATCTTTGCAGATGACCTAAAAGTAGCTTATACATTCCAACGTGATGACTTAGGGAACTTCGAGAATGTAGTACAGAAGGAATTAGATAAAATGGCTGCTTGGTCGTCCCTATGGAATCTCCAATTTAATCTGAACAAATGTGGCTGGATCTGCTTCGGTGCACCCTCAATCGACCTGAAATTAACGCTCCAATCTGCTAACCTAACAAGACTCCGAAATGTCGTTGACCTAGGCCTGAGGTACTCTAGTGACTTGACATTCTCAGAGCAAGTAGCATCACAGACTAGAAAATCGAGGATGCTCTTAGGATGCATACTCAGGAACTTTCACGACAATGAAGCCAAGCTAATTCTGTACAAAACATGTGTCAGACCACTACTAGAATACTGTCCATTTATTATAAGCAGCACTCGCACACGTGACAAGCTAAGGATGGAAAGTATCCAACGATATTTTACCTCAAAACTGCTTGGCTACGATTGTAAGAAAGACTACATCTCACGGTGCATGATCCTAAAACTCGACCCACTTTGGACAAGGCGACTTATTATAAACCTAATATTCTTCTTTAAGGTCCTTCACAAAATATCTTTCTCAGGTAACAGGGACATACAATTCGCACAGGAAGGTTCTTACGATCTGCGTAACCAAACTTCCACAGTGACAACTCATTCTTTTAAGTCAACACTCCGTGAAAACTTCTTCACAGTCATGTATTCTAAAATATGGAATAGCCTACCCCTAGATATCAGAACTTGCTCTTCGGTTACAAGCTTCAAACGCTCTCTATACAGACTGTTGCACTCTACTGATTATATTAATAAACTATTTACTCCTAGAACGAATCAAGCACTAATCTACTACAGCACCTAAAAGACGCACTTCAACACCCTTAGCAATCTTTAAACTATAAATAAACTAGCAGCATGGATGCATAAAGACATAGTACGGAACATACAGGATTAGTTTACCCTTAGAAATAGGACCTATCCCTCATTGTAACCTTCAAACGCTTGCTATGTAAACTGTTTTATTCTAAAGACTATCCCTACCAGAACCCATTACTTATTTCTAAAACGCATCAGTCATTAGAACAATAAAACGCTCAGACTATTAATACACATTATGACATTAAATAAACTCTAAGACTTCGCATAAATACGTGAAAACGCAGATACAATATAGAAAAATGTTTACTTAAGTATAATTAAGATAAACATTTATAAATGAATCATGTATTAATGTTCTTTTCATGTTCACATACTTTCTCTTTCTGGTATTTTGCTGCTCCTATTCATCTTCTGGTCGAGGTCGAACAACCCTGCATCTAAACTGAAATGAGGATTAATTCCAAACCGTCTATCTCATAACCACTCAAATTCCATGAACGATCCAATTCTACCATTTGAAGACGCTGGCGAACATGCTGTAAATGAGTATTCATGATCTGAAATGAAGAAGCAACTGGTTTTCAAACAGTTTTCAACGTTTTACTCAACTTACGAATACAGTCCGCCATGCAGACACAAATGGAGCAAATGGAGGATTCTGGAATCGACCTCGGCACCATTTGATGCAGTAAAACAACCCAACATGACCTTATTTAGTTTTCGTATCCACGATCAAATTTCTTTCCTGTTATGAAACTACGATAAGAGTGCTGAAAAAATGGAATAAATATATCACTGATCTCAACATAATACATCAATAATCTTTAAGCCATGGGTGCTGCTCACAACAAAGTTATATAAGAGAATTGACTTCAAGCTTTATTTTTCCCAGATATCTGTATTACATTCATCTGATGTCTGGGTTTTTTGTTAATGCGAAGACAATATTTCTATATCTCTTTATGTGCTACACAAACAGACTTTATAGCAGACTGTTCCTACTGACTCTAATGTCAGAAAGAACAACCAAACTGTAAATTCATTATACATTAAATTGTGTGTAATTTATATAATAACTTATCCATGCCTGTACAATTGGTATGTTCCTGCATAAACAGGAAGAAATATATATATAATTCTCCTATATAACTTTGTTGTGAACAGCACCCTTGCCTGAAAGTTTATTGATGTATTATGTTGAGATCAGTGATATATTTATTCCATTCTTTCAGCAGTCTTATCGTAGTTTTATAACAGGAAAGAAATTTGATCGTGGATGCGAAAACTAGATGAGGTCTTGCGAAGTTGTTTTACTGCATCAAATGGTGCCGAGGTCGATTCCAGAATTCTCCATTTGCTCCATTTGTGTCTGCATGGCGGACTGTATTCGTAAGTTCAGAAAAATGTTGAAAACTGTTTGAAAACCAGTTGCTTCTTCATTTCAGATCATGAGTACTCATTTACAGCATGTTCGCCAGCGTCTTCAAATGGTAGAATTGGATCGTTCATGGAATTTGAGTGGTTATGAGATAGATGGTTTGGAATTAATCCTCATTTTGGTTCAGATTCAGGGTTGTTCGACCTCAGCCAGAAGATGAATAGGAGTAGCAGAGTACCAAAAAGAGAAAGTATGTGAACATGAAAAGGATATTAATGTATATATATAAATGTTTATGTCAATTGTATATTATACATTAGTAAAAATTTACCTCTATTTTAGTTGTCTTTTCACGTATTCATGCGATGTCTTAGAGTTTATTTAGTGTCATGATGTGTATTAATGAGTCTGAGCGTTTTAGTGTTCTAATGACTGATGCGTTTTAGAAATAAATGATGGGTTCTGGTAGGGATAGTCTTTGGGATAAAACAGTTTATATAGCAAGCGTTTGAAGGTTACAATGAGGGATAGGTCCTATTTCTAAGGGTAAACTAATCCTGTATGTTCCGTACTAAGTCTTTATGCATCCATGCTGCTAGTTTGTTCACAGTTTTTAGATTGCTAAGGGTGTTGAAGTGCGTCTTTTAGGTGCTGTAGTAGATTAGTAGTTGATTCGTTTTAGGAGTAAATAGTTTATTAATATAATCAGTAGAGTGCAACAGTCTGTATAGAGAGCGTTTGAAGCTTGTAACCGAAGAGCAAGTTCTGATATCTAGGGGTAGGCTATTCCATATTTTAGAATACATGACTGTGAAGAAGTTTTCACGGAGTGTTGACTTAAAAGAATGAGTTGTCACTGTGGAAGTTTGGTTACGCAGATCGTAAGAACCTTCCTGTGCGAATTGCATGTCCCTGTTACCTGAGAATGATATTTTGTGAAGGAACTCAAAGAAGAATATTAGGTTTATAATAAGTCGCCTTGTCCAAAGTGGGTCGAGTTTTAGGATCATGCACCGTGAGATGTAGTCTTTCTTACAATCATAGCCAAGCAGTTTTGAGGTAAAATATCGTTGGGTACTTTCCATCCTTAGCTTATCGCGTGTGCGAGTGTTGCTTATAATAAATGGACAGTATTCATGTAGTGGTCCGACACATGTTTTGTACAGAATTAGCTTGGCTTCATTGTCGTGAAAGTTCCTGAGTATGCATCCTAAGAGCATCCTCGATTTTCTAGTCTGTGATGCTACTTGCCTAGAGAATGTCAGGTCACTAGTGTACCTAAGGCCTAGGTCAACGACACTTCGGAGTCTTGTTAGGTTAGCAGATTGAAGCGTCAATTTCAGGTCAGTTAAGGTTGCGCCGAAACAGATCCAGCCACATTTGTTCAGACTAAATTGGGGATTCCCTAAGGACGACCAAGCAGTCATATTATCTAATTCCTTCTGCACTACATTCTCGAAGTTCCCTAAGTCATCACATTGGAATGTATAAGCTACTTTTAGGTCATCTGCAAAGATGAATGGTTTCCCGTGCGTGAAGCAAGCGCATATGTCATTGATGTATAGTGTAAATAGGAGGGGTCCAATGACACTACCTTGTACTACACCACAAGTGATAGGGCTAGGTTTGGAGGTTGCAGACCCGAGTTTAACTATTTGGGACCTATTGTTAAGGAATGATTTAAGCCATCCTAATAATGGGTCACGTATTCCTAAGGAGTTCAGCTTATTTGTTAGCAGTAAATGGTCAACACGGTCAAATGCCTTAGAAATGTCAAAGTAGATGACAAGTACTAGTCGCCGTCTGTCACGACTGCTGGTTACGAAATTGAAGAAGTCTAGGTGACATGTTAAACATGATCTGGATTTCAGGAATCCATGTTGGTTCCGACTTATAATATTGCAGCTAAGCATATGTTTGATTAAGTTGTCTTTAACTAGTCTCTCCATGATTCTAGATGCTATAGGTGTGATATTGATTGGCCGGTAGTTACTGACTTCAGTTTTCGAGCCAGATTTGTGTTTAGGCATAATGAATGTTGTCTTCCATATGTCAGGGTAAGTTTGGGTTTCTAGAAATATTGTGAATATTTTAAGAAGCAGTAGAGGAATGTCAGGGCCACCATATTTATAGAAGTAAGATGATATACCGTCGGTACCGAAACCTTTTGAACTTTTGAAGGTTCTTATAGTTTGGTTAATATTAGCATAAGTGAATTCAACGGTGCTAATTTGGTTTGGTATCAGTGGAGTTGGTGCCATTTTAGTAATAGGGTGTATATCGAGTAGCTGGACTGAGGGCTTAAGGTAGTTACCTGCAAACGTTTTGTTGAATAGCTCACATATGTCTGCAGAGTTAGTGCATAGCCTAACTTTGTCTATGAGGAGAGAAATGCTGTGATATTTGCGATTCAT